CAGCTCTTTGATCCCCTTGCCCTCTGTTCTCTAGATCTCGGCCATGTACTCCTCCGTGAATAAACCCGGGCAGTGCGGGAACAGACCGGGACAGTCGCTGAAAGCCTCGGAGTCCAGCCGCATGTGCGACCCAGGAGCCGCTCAGAGGTCCCCGTCTTCCTGCAGTGACCTCTACGCGACCGTCAAGGACTTCGAGAAGACCGCCCGCAGCGCCAGCCTGCTCCCCGCGGCAGGGAGGCCCCGGGAGGACTCGGAGCCTGACTACGAGGCGATACAGACTATGGACCGAGAGGAGGAAAAGGCCGCCCCCGAGGCCAGCGGCCGCCCCGGCTCCGGCCCGCGGGAGAGCGACTATGAGAGCATCGTGGACGTGCAGCAGGGCAGGGAAGTCACCAGGCTCTAGCAGCCCCGAGGACACCCCAGAGCCCGGGGCCAGCGGTCGGGGACATCTCTCCTGCACACAAGAAGCCGCGACGTCACCATCACCGCCCACGCGGCTTGAGTGAGCCGAAGCCCGTGCAGATGCCAGACAGTCTCTCAGCGTCGGGGACAGTGAGGTGCGCACCTGCTGCCCGAGGCTGTGCCCGAGCACATGGCCCTGTGTCAGCGGAAGAGCTGCTCCCGCCAAGACGCAGCCCACCTGCCTAACACTGCCGTTCCGGTGACCCAGGCTCCCGTTCTTCCGCCCCCGGTGGCCGCCCGCCGTCTTCCCCTTAGACTCTTCTGATGGCTCCTGCTCCGTCCCGCGGAAGTCCTCCCGCAGGCCTGGACCTGGCCTTCGCCGTGAGAAGCCCTGGTCGCGGGTGCCGTCAGCTCGCCGTCCTCTTCCGGGGCGCCCCTGGAGCGCCGAGGCCTTCGCGCCTTCCGGTTCGCACGCTCCGTGCCAGCAGCGTCCCCCCGAAGCACTTGAAGCCGTTTTCAGATTCTTTATTTTTATTTTCGCCATCAAAACGATTTTCTTTTTCCCCGAGCGTTTGAAGCTCTTCAGAACTCTTGCAGTGTTTTCCACAAACGTCGTGATACTTCTCTGCTTGTCTTAGCCCCGATCCCACTCCCCCAGAACTGAGAGCCTCAGCCCTCACGTTGGGACAGGGACCACACGTCTGGACGGCGGCCACGGCGTCCGTCTCTGCGGACTCGCGAGCGTGTTCCTCGTGGGCGCTGCTGGTACACCAGCAGCGTGGGCCGCACGAGTTAACCGCTGCCCTAATCTATCTCAGATTAAAATGCAAACGTTTATTTTTCTTATATAAATTTATAAGATGTTTTATGTTTAACGCCTGATTTCTAAAAGGTGCCGGAAAGATAATGTATATTGACTATTTTGATTTTATGTACAATGATTTATACTCTCATTTTGAAAAGTCACTCGAAAGCACATAAGCAAGGGAGTTATAAGTCGTTGTTATCCTTTTTTTTCACCAAGTGTTTAAAAACTCAACTTTTCAAATGGTACTTGGAGCTCTCGGTCAAAATCACCTGGCTCGCTGGAAAAATAAGGAGAATCATCATCAATGATCATTTTCAGTGGTTTGTGGTGGACAATACTGAAAAATTTGAAATGGTAAAAATGGGAAGAACAACAAAAGATGACAACGGATGACTGAATCATGAGCCTCGCGCAGGTGCGACTCCCAAGGCTTGAGCACGTTTTTAAGAAACCAGTGAGGACTTCTGCAGTCCAGTGCTGGCACATGCAAATTGTCTGTTGGGATTTTTTTTTTTTTCTCCTTCATTTTACAAAAATGGGTATCTGAAATCACTCGGATTGAGAGATCAGCCTGGTGTGTATTTAGTCATCTCTTCAGATTTCATAAGGCCAACTTTGGGAAACGTATTGACTTTTCATTTCGAAAGAAACCGTGTTGAAATGCTGTATGCAGTGTGGGTTACAGAAAATGGAGCTTTCCTCCAGCGTTAAAGAGAGAGAGGCAGTTATTATTACCACTGTGACACCTGTGACCTTTTGGCTCGGACCGTCTCGCCGTTCCCATGTGCCGTGACCAGGAACGCAATCGAGGGGACCGAGCGCCTTGAGAACTGTGGGGACCAGCTCACTGGCGTGGGTCCGCCATCCCCCGCACTCGTGGCAGGCCGTGGTGACCGCTCCGTAACACGTCTCCGGAACCGTAAATCTGCGTTGGGGTGAACTCGTTGGCTGCCGTTCCTGTTCACTCAGCCGTGTCTCTTGTGAAGACGTCACGTGAGTCGGCACGGTCCTCGGTGATGGTGGCAGAATACCCTGGGAACAGGGAGTGTCCTTTGCCCTCTGCAGCCACATCCTGCAGCCACATCCTGCAAAGCACTGTTTTGCCTGGTGATGGTCACTGCTTAATGTAAAAGAGTTTGGCCCAATCGTCTGTCCGTCCCGGGGTCCCTTTCGGGCGTGGCGATAGCTCTGTCACACTCACGCCGGGCCCGGCGCACGCGGCAGCAAGGCCCTTGCGAGCCCCTGGCCACCGGAAGTCGATCGTTTTCACAGTGTGCTCCTTATCACCAGGGCATCATCCCGAGGTGCAAAGCCATCTGCAGAGGCAGGAGCTCTCTATCAATAGTTACATCCTCTAGAATTTCAGTACCGGGGTTTCCCTGGGAAGCTTTGAAATGAAGGCTTTGCCGAGCAGCCATAAAGTACACACTGAATTATCCTCCTTGATCTGAGAACTTGTGCTACGATTGAGCCGTGAGATAAAGCATTGTAAGTACCTTAGAAGGAACCATGAGGCCCCCCAATACAGATCCTAAAAGAATAAGTGACAGCACAGCCCAGGGGGGCCAGGGACGGACAGTAAACTTCAGCAGATGGCTCTGTTCTTCAGACCACTGGTACCAAAGCGAGGTCTGTGTATTGAAGCATCATTGCTGTTTTGACCTGATAGTATAGTATTTCACAGAGGTCGTCACTTTTACTTTATTTGTTGAAAATCTGTGCTACAGTCTTTGAATTGGACAAAAGCCTATGGCTTCTCTAGAAAAAAAGGTTTCATCTTGAGTTAAGTACTACAGAGTTTAAACATATGAAAGGTAATTATTGAAAAAAAAAGGATTTATTGTATCTTGAGAATTCAGCTTTGACAGCTGTATTATGCATTCAGTGATAATAACCTAGGTTACGTGAAATTATACAAAAAGATACAATAAGTTTTAGGAAATTTTTTTGTCTTATTAATCAGAATTATAAACTTATCTTGCCCAAAAGTAGAATTTTTTTTCATTTAGAAATTTGGAAAGTGTAGAAGAAAGTGTAACCTGTTTTATGTGAAATGTTTAAAGAAATTTTAAATTTTAGAAGAAAGTAATTTTTGCAAATATGTTTTCCACATATATTTTTTTCCTGCCCTGTACTAAATTATATTCTTAGTTCTAGTAAAGCTTTTGAAGGTACTTCTCTGCTTCGTGGGAAAAGGCTAATTACTGACTTATCTGACCTCAAAATCCAAGAGTTAATTCTAATTGAGTGCTAATTAACAACAGGTAGTCAACACAAAGAACTAAAATTTAACCTCAGCATGTCACTATACCTATTTCTCATATCTGATTTTCACTTTTCTACTTAGAGCATTTCCTTACTTTAACCAGTAACAAGCTATATATACACACACAAATATATGTATACACATATGTACATACATATGCATGTATGCCTAATTAATTAGGATACATCCTATTATGCATCTTGAATGTTGCCTTCATTTAATTTTCCTAATGAATAAGTTCAAATTTGAAATTGTGTCCATCATTCTCTTGGCTGAAAGACAGTGGGATTTTAGATCGTTTTATTACACACGTGACTCACTGTATATCCAACCCAGTGGGAGGGAGCGTAAACAGGTGTCTCAGGTGCTGCAGGAGCTTTGGCCAAAAGCCACAAGAGCCGGTGGCCAGGTCGGGGCCGCAGCAAGGTGACCGCCCTCCAGGCCGCGGAAGCGGAGGCCGCCACCGTCACGTGGGCCCGTTTCATTTCACTCTAGAAACCCCGGGATCCGCGGGCAGGGGGGTCGTCTGACGTGAGATGTCGCTGCTCCGAGGTGATGGCGTGGCTGTGATCACGGAGCTTCGGTGCAGGACCGAGTCCGGAGTTTGTAAATGAGTAAATGACCTTTTTCCAGGGTTCCCTAGAAGAGTTCATGTGACTCCGTGTGACCTAGTGACGCCGTTGAGGTCGTCCCCGGCCAGCCCCGCCCTGGCTGCCAGGAGCACAGTGGGGACTGGTGGTTACTTCCTGGCAATCGTGACAGGAGATTACTGTGTAGTTGGGAAAAGTTAAAGTGTAATGTTTGGTGTTAATAAGTGACTGATGTGAAAATAGGAACAGTGTCTATAACGTCAAGATGGCTTTATTTGCAGTGAAGTCTGAATTCCTTGTCCTGTGGTAGTATTTCCTTACTCCGCATCATGCCTTTTCTTCAATATGTCATTTTTGACAATGGCATTAGACGCATTAGACAAGTTATACACACTGAGAAAACGCTCGACTTAAACAGATCAGTTTAGAAACCAGGATAAATTAGAGTTTTCATCTGGAATTGCCAAAGTAAATTGAACAAAATCATGGTCCAGAAGAGAACAAACATTCATAAGTGCTTTTTTCCCCTACTGCTCATTTTTAAGCCTTTGTTTACATCCAGCCTCTAATGTATAGAAAGCATTTCACTGTTTTTCCAAGTTCTTCTTTTATTTAACTAAGAAATAGTAGTTCGGATTCCTTGTCATGCCAGATGGAATGAGAAATGCGATTTTTGTTAAAGGGTCAATTTTTCTAAAGCGTTTAATTTGGTAATCATTTATCTTAATGTGGCTAGATGACATTTTTCTTTGCTCACCGATTATATGCTATGGCCATTTTTTTTTAAATGTACTGTGTTCTGGTGTCTCAGATCACCTCGTGTGACGGATTATAAAGGCTGGTAATTGTCACTCCTCGGAGTTCCGTATGTTGGCAAGAGTAAATGTTTTAATGGTGTCACCTCTTAAAGGTATTAACATACGTTCTGGGAGAGTTTGAAACAGAGCAAAGCAAATAGAAATTCACATTTCGTTGTCCATGCATTTTTTTTTTCCTCAGAAAAACAGTTTCCCAGAAAGTGACTTATTATGTGTTAGGTCATGATCGGTTTCAAAGTATGCCTCTTACTCAAAAATATTCCAAAATAATTCATGCCTCTGAGTGGCACTTAGACTCATTGTCTCAAAAGGCCTTTTAATGGTCACATTGTCCAGTTCACAAAAGAGTGGGAAAGTTGTTTTCAATATTGAGAATTTTTAAACGTGAGTTTTAGTCCAAAAAATATCTCTTATTGGCTTCAACAGCTTCTAATTTTCCCCTTCCTGACTCTAGGCCTTTCAAAGAGTAAATCTCAAGAATGGGAGCAGGAAGGCCCTGTTTATTCCGGCCTCCCTTGGGGTCTTCCTGCACAGGTGACCTGCTGTGACTTTGCACAGCACCGCCCCAGACCCCCGTGTCTGCGGCGCACAGGGCGCGCCCCACTGGCTGCCAGGGTAAAGCCACAGACCCGCCCGGGGAAGCAGATGCTGGGTTTCTGTGTTGGGAGCGTTGCTAAACCAGGTACGGCCTTGCCCACACCTTGCATGAGAATGCGTGGCACTGAGGGACGGTGAGACAGAACAGAATTTTAAAACTTCTGCTGAGGATTCCGCCTCACAAATGCAGAAAAACTCCCACCATTCTCTGCCCGGGTAAGCTCGCTGGCCCCCACAACAGCGGCCCCCTGTCTCCTGAAGTTCCAGCGAAGACAGATCTTTGTAACAGCCCACCAAGAGTTACCCATCAAGTTGGAGGACACTGATTATTTTGAGGGGGACATGCAACCCGTTCTTGTAAAAATTAATCATTTCAAAAGTAAATTGAGTGTAACATTTTTTTTAGCCAGCTCTGGGAAACAGTCCCTGTGAATTACGCCCGTTGCAAGGAGTGCGATCTCCTCTCCCAGGTCTCAAGGGAACGCGACGGGCTGAGCATCTAACTGTGGCGTCTGCAGACACTGAGAACAGCCTGGCCGTTTCTGGGCAAGCTGTCTGATGCTCGGGGGGCGGATGCCAGCACCTTGGAGTGCCAGCCCAGGAGCGGGGTGACACGGAGCCTGACGGTCCCCTTTTCTGCACACCTGAGGCTCCACCACGTTGATGTCTCGCGGTTTTGTTTAGTTTGGACTTGTCGCCGTAGCTAATGATCCGAATGGATATTCCAGAGTCTAACTTTTTTCTAAATTAACAGAACAGATTCTCTTTATACA